TGTGTGTGTGTGTGTCTTTTTTCCCATCATCCTCGGGGACCTCCAGCGATGATGTTGAGGACGGCGGCTGAAGTTGTGTTTCTTTAATAATCTAATTCAACAACACAATTACCAAGTGTCAAACTGCGGAGCGAGCGGCCGACGGAGTGACGGCGACGCTTCGTTTGTTTTTGTTGTTGTTTTTTTTAAAAACAATCATCAGATAAATTACAATCCAGATCTCGAAAATATATAAATCTCCTCTTGAGGTGGAAAATAGTTTTATTAATAGTGATGTTAGGTTCCATGGCAACGGAGGATGCAGGACTGTGATTGGTTGATGGGTTACTAATGTTTGTGCTACAGTTCACCAGATTTACAGAAGAATAAACAATGTTTTCATTTTAAAAACTATTGTGAAAAATATTAATAATAAGACTTAACATGCTAGCACAGGGTGCAGCAACTTTTACAAAAATAAACATTTTAAATGGAGCATCTAAACATATTTAATTAAGCCTTAAAATGCTAATTTCACTGATTCCACACATCAAGGATACCGGTACAGCAGCAGCGTTGGTGGTGAACGTAAACAAATCTGTTGACGCACTATTAAATTATCTATTTTCCACTGAGATTTTTCTTATTTTTGGATTTAAAATACAGACTAGAAACTTCCACTAGCAACAGATGTAGAGGAAAAGCCACCAGGTAACATAAGATACACGTTTTAGTTGACAAAATGTTTAAAAAAAAAAATAAAATATATATATATATTTGGTGTAATGGCTTTAATTAATTAATAATTCATATAATATTTTTGTATATTTATATTTTCAAAGCCACAGGGAGCTGTCAGAAAGGTGCTAAAGAGCCACTTTGGCAGCTATTTGTTCATAAACTAGATTTACTGGACCAAGTCAACCTTTGACCTGATGATGGCGGCACATTAAAAGTTACAGGTTCTGTATGTAACTGTCAGAAAACAGTGACACCTGTGGCCGTTGACTGAACTGCAGTCAGCGTTGGTTGTCTGTAGACGGAAAGCGAGCGTCATCCTGGTGACATACACGTATTTTATCTGCACTAAGTAGCTCGCCGTTTACAGATCACACTATCAGCTAAACACAAAAGCCACAGTCAGCTGGTCAACTAGCTTAGCATAGGCTAACTTAAGGTTAGTTAGACGCCTTACATTATTGAGTCTGATGCTTTTTATTGTTCTTATTCTTACAATACGTTGTCACTTTGAAGCAGACGAAGAAAAAGGGAATATTGAGTCCAAGGTGAGAAGAACAAGCAGAGTTTTACCTGCTGATGAAGGATCTGTCACTGTCTCTCTCTCCACTGGAGGTTCCTCCGCAGGCTGTCGCCATTCTCTGCCCACATTTTGGCACCGGCGGCTACAAGAAGCTGAGCCGTCTCTACCGTCTCTCTCTCTCATCTGCTCTCATCTGAAAAATCACAAGACACTAAAACTTATTACAAAGACTAAAATCATGATTGACACAATTTCAGATGAAAGAAACATACTTTTTCTGCAACTCTCAGCTAGAAGAAAACAATCATTTGCTTTGTACCTTTTACCTTCGTTACATTATTTCCTGTTGGCTAAAATCAACACCGTTCGTCATAAGACAAGTAAAGTAATTTGTCATGTTGTCCATCTTTATATACATCGAAGGTTTTAACCTGGATGTCTCTCACCAAGGGCGACCAAGGCTTTGTTTGGGGGATAGTTTCGACCTAAAATGATTTCACGGTTTTCTCTTTTTTTTATTGCGTAAGAAAGTCAAAGCTGCTTTTTTTTATTTATTTTTTTTATAATTCATTACAAAATCGAAAGGCCACTTGTTGACTGACTCAACTAACATTTCCACTCCATATATATTATTATAACAGTACAATTAGCGAGCACGCCAAGGTTAGCCAGCCAGAGCAGCCCTGAGACTGGACGAAGCTATCTGATAGTTAGCATGAGATAACAGAGCGGTGAACCACTGTGAGAGGACATCACATCTTATTCTTGTCTTCATGTTGGCTATATTTCTTCCATTAAATGTAGGCTACTCAATGTTTTCACCATGTTTTCCTGCAGTCTGTTGTTGTTGTTGTTCCAGCTCCAAAGTTTCGAATCAGAAATGAACCTTGAGACAGAAAAGGGACATTTTGTGTCATAAAATATGTTCTTGGGCAATATCCAGTCTGGTGTAATAAAGACCGAGCTCATTCCTGTTCTTCTTTCTGTCCCCATCCCTCTCTCTCTCCTTCTTCTTTTTTTTCTCTCCCCCCTCTGTCCTCCACCTCTCCTTCCCTCTCTGCCCTTCATCCCCCCTTCTCTTTATCACTCCGCTCATAAAACCTGCTCATCCAGAAAGAACAGACTTTAGAGGAGGATGAGAGAGGGAAGGGAGGAAGAGAGAAATGAATGAGGGAGAAAGACGAGGAGCGATTTAAGGAAGGAGAGAGATTTAAGAGCAGTATTTGTGTAATTTCAAGCTCAAATCAATTCATTTCCACTCACGGTTGAGTGTTAAATTCAACTTTAGTGAACTTGAAATCATCGGCCGTTGATCAGTTTTTTTGTGCCGACCTCTGGAGGAACCGACGGCAATATCACTTTAGCTGCGTCGCGCCATTTAATCTCACATAACCTGCTTTTTGCTGGAGTGTTAACGGCTCCACGAGAGAGAGCTACAATACGTCTACTGGACCAAATGTGGCATCTCTTGAATTTACTTTTTTTAAAGGCACCATGTGTTATTTTTGAGTGTTAAATCACTTTTTATTGGCAATTTGTTAACAGGTTGTAACATAACTTATAAAATAAGACTGTGGGCTGATTTCAAGTCGTTCCTTTGGACGACTGCAGGTCGGAGCTTCAGTAAAATCAAAGGATGTGACGTTCCCGACTGTCTTCTCTCTCTGCTTCCCTACAGCTAACGTTCAGCTTATAAATGGAGTCCTTCAGGAGGCCCCGTTTCATCATTGAGTGAACTGATGACTCCTGAATAAAGAATTTTATGGATATTTTATATTATACTTAATGCATAACAACAATAGTACAGAATAACTGATAAACTGTAATAGATTAACCCTCATAGATAAAGAAATAACTGCAGGAATTTGAGTTTTTCAGATATTTTTAGGAACTTTTTACACAATNNATTACATATCAGACAGTGAAAGCTCTTAATAATAATAACAATCCTGCATTCAACTCTTCAAAATTGAACTCTTAAATAATGATCTAAACTTTAAAAATAACAATTTCATGTCGTTTTCTACATTGAAATGAATTAAAAGGCAGATTTCTTACACTCTTTAAAACCAATAAGGCCTCATGACCCCTGGTGAAGCTTTGGCGACCCCTAGTGGGGGGTCCCGACCCACAGATTGGGAACCACGAATGACCGACCACAACACAAGAGTCTAAAGTCAAAGCTTGTGAATATTATGGTTTAGCTGACTTAACGTTAGCTTGCTTGCTAACGAGAACACAGCACTCACTCACGAAAGGTCATATAATTTACCATCAGGTCAAATATTTTAACACATTTAACTCCTTTAACTTCCTCCTTGTTCATTACAGGTCGGTGGTCGGTGTTTATTGTACATTCTGTTACCGTGCTTTCGTTCAGCAGCATAAATTTTCACTGTGGTTTCGGCAGAATTGACTACAGTTTTCCTCTAACTAACAAATAAACTGGAAAAAATAAACTCTGAAAAGTGTCTGAGAAATCCACTTTTTACCCAACCGACAGTTGAGTTTCAAACTAAACACTCACCCAGGTTTACGTAGGAAACGTAGATAATTTCCAAGATATTTGGTCATTTGAGTCAAATTCCAGGTTGTTTCCATGTCTTGAAAACCAGTCTCTAAATTTTCCAGGTTTTCCAGGACACACGTGTGAATTTCGCCTGTGAGAGGGAGAAAAGGAGGAGAGGGAGGTGAGGCAGGAAAAGAGACATAAAAAAAGAGATTAAGTGAGAGAGAGCAGGTCTCAAGGTGACTAGTCATTGTCCTAATTCTGCTTTTAAAACAGCTAAAGAGGCCAAAAACACAACTCTCCCTCCTCAATTCTCCCATTTTCCTCTTATGTCTCTCTCTCTCTCTCCTCTATTCCTGCCATCTTCACTGAAAGAGGCTACAACCATCACCCGTCTCCCTCTCTCTCTCTCTCTCTCTGTCTTTTTTTATCTTAATTTATGCTCTCTCCTTTCCTTAAAGACCCCTGTCACTTTCTGTGGGCTGGGCACTTAACCACACGCGCACACACAGTGAACAGAGCCGCAGGGACAGTCAGTTTTGGTGGATGCCATTTAAAATAAATGCATAAGCTTAGTGTAAATGACCCGACATGGTCGTAAAGGTCCTAAATGTCTACTGAGGATTCCCTTTGAGTTTACCGATACAATGTATGATGTGTGCTCGCAATGCAAAAGATGAGTATTTAGTAGGGACTAGCAAGCAAAAATCATAATTAAGATATTAGTGATAGTACCGTTGTATATCTTGGTAAATAGCACCCATGCTTGTGTTTTTTTACACAATGTACTGCTCAGTAGATGTCTTTATTCAGCGTCATCTAGACTAAGACAGTAGTCCCACAATTAAAAGCAGTGGACCACAATCTGGGATTACATGAATTAAAGTGAAGGCCTTAACTAAATTGACTACATCCAGTGTGATTAAAAATCAACTTCCTCCCACATAGACATAGACAGGCTTGTAACTTTTTCTTCCCAGTTGGTTATGACAGTAAATGCAGTTGCTGCCTGGTAGTCACTGGTTGAGATAAGAATACATCTTAATATATTTAAATCCCTATATATTTGAACCCCAATATATTTCAAATCTCCATCCTCAGCTGCCCTCATTTTTACTGCTGTCAGGGTGAAGTTCTAGATTAGCTATCTGGGTTTTTTATCCTCTCTCTTTCCCTCTCTCCCTCTCTCTCTCTTTTCCATACAGACACACACACGCACGCACGTACGCATACATATACACACATTTTCCCTCCTGAGCGGAGAAGATAAAGCAGGTGTTAGTAAAGAGTACTCCTGGCCCAAATGAAAGCCATTTATCAGACGCTTTTCCTTCCTCACAACACACACATATATAGAAACTCACACAACCACACAAACACACACTGAGTCAAGATAAAAGCACTATCCAGGACTCTAAGCCTGAAGCTAAGCATGCTTGATTAGGTGTGTAAGGAACTGTTAGGAGATGTGTTTGGGGTTTCGCCTTTTTTCACTTGTAATATTCCAGGACATGAAGCACTGTCACTGGAGAGTGTAGCCACCATAGCATTTTTTTAATCATACATTGTTTTTGGGTGAAATTATCAAAAGTGCACATTTATTCAATTTGTATTTTCACAGACGACAGGTGTGATTTACTAAATACCACACGTACCTTTTTGTCTACATACTGAGGGTTATTGTCATCAGTTATATCTCTCCGTCTTATTACCGTATATGAGGGAAGTTGTTAGCAACATGGGCCATTTATTTTTGGGCGACCTTTTACAAGCGTGCTACAGGATCTGTCTCATAAACAAATGCAATGCTCAGATGACTAATTCATGAAACAGGTACATCTGTTCCACTTCTACAACGTAGTTGCTAAATTGATTCATTTGTTTGTGTTTATAATTGATTGACTTCACAGGTGATTTCCCAACTGCGTGTCCTGAGCCGCTCAGTAGCAACAGGTTCCAAGTTTGACAGGGAGCTCTGGTCGAATGGACTTTCACCGGTCCTCTACTTGTGGAAGAAACTCAACCAGGTCAGTTCTATTTTTTCCTGCCCAGTTCATCTTTCCCACTCTTCATAGTGCTTTTCTTAAACTGAAAACTCACACTAGTCTAGTCTTTAGCAAGAATAGAACCTTTTTATCTATATTGGCTATTTTCTGCCTATCAAACTGCAAAGCTGGCTTGATTTTATCTTAATCAACATATTTATAAAGGTCTCTGTGTATCTGAATCTTAACCTCAAGCCCAAAAATTGTACTGGGAATCACAGGAATACTGTGTTATGAAGTCTGGAAAATATATGATAATTTCCAGATCACTGAAACTCTATAATTACCTCCATATCTTATACCATTTTGTCCTCAGACTTATAGTACCTGTAAAGTAATTTACCAATAGATTAGTTACAAAAACACCATTGTTTTTTTTGTAGTTCTTTTGAAGCTTTGATAGTTTCATGCTAGTCTTCATTTGTATGTCCAATCATGTATTTACATTGCCCGTACAGCAACTACTCTACATTAAAAGCTGTGAAAGCTCATTGGAAAATAGTAGGGTCTAATTGAGCACTGTCTGTGATGGCCACTGGCTTGCCTAGTCAAGCAGCACTCCTCTGTGTGGTTGCTTGGAGACCGGCACCTTTTCAAATCAAAAGGACATCTACCCCTACATTAAATAATTTAGCCAGCATATTCCCTCTCTCACACTCTGCCTCTCTTTTATTCAATCTCATGCTGTAAATCACACATGCTCTTCCTCTCCCTTTTTCCCTCATTTGCACGTATACCTCCCGCTCTTTCCCTCTCTCTTTCTACACCTCTCTCTCTCTCGCTCTCTCTCAGCCCCTTGCAGGCAGAGTTGTTTGGTACTTACTGAGAGGAGAATGATTGACTGTGTTAATTGTCACCATTGTATCACCAGCTAGCTTCCCATAGATCACAATCTACCTCTGACTGCTTTCAATTAACTGGCCCTTTGTCGTCAGCTAACCTTTGGTGTTTGACCATCAGTGGAAGTGTGTTCCCCGAAGTATAGCTTAAATGTACATCCTTTTTGTGTGTGTGTGTGTGTGTGTGTGTGTGTTTGGGTGTTAAGGTTGATGTTCAACTTGAATGTGTATGTGCATGCTTTTGTGTGTAGAGATATGCATGTATTTATTTTGACAAATCTTTATGTAGTCTGGTCCGAGGGGAGAAGCATAAGACAGCAGATACTGTTTATTTGGCTGTGAAGTTACATTTTTGAAAAGAGACAATAGCAGAGCTGTAGTCAAGCAGAATGTTTTCTCATTGTCTCATTTATCTCATGCTCTCCATTGTCTGCATTCCTGCTATCCCTCTCCCTCTCTTTCCTCCACTCCGCACTTACTGAGTAGATGCGAGGAAAACAAAACAGGGTGCAGGTACAGAGTGTGACATCTGCAATGGAATACATACAAAAAATACACAAAAATATCAGAGCTGGTTCACATCTGCACATATTTGTGTTTGTACATAAATACACGTCCTTGGTGTACTTAAAATAGATCTAAGTGATAACTAATGTAAAACAATTTGTCCTCCTGGTTTGCACTACAGAGAAAGAGAAACTATTTCCTATATTATTTATATCTCATTATTGTGGAGGAGCCAAGAACCGTAGAATTTATGTATGTTGAGCTAAGGGAACCCACTGGGATCACTGGGAAGACTGTAGTAATGGAAGAAATAATTTGTAAGAAAAAGGATAGCATATGCTGATGCACAGCAGCAGTTACAAAACAGATTATACATCTTCCTTGAAATAATACTATGTCCATGCTAGAGTGTAGTAGACAATTTAAGGAGACTGATTTACAACAGTGTTCCAGTGATAAAGCAATGCTAGGACAATTGTACAATATTATACATCAAGGCTTGAAGCACTACAGCCCGAGGTAAAGATATCTATCTATCCTATCAATATACCAATATGTCTTTCTGTATACAGGGTTCTACTCTGATCCACCAGAAGGTGGCCCCACCTACAGAAAGTCAGGGGTCACCAGTCCTGTCATTCATCGTTCTGGAGCAGTTCAACGGCATCCGCCTGGTCCAGGTGTGTCAACCAGTGCTCTTACCAACGACAAACATTTTTACATGATGGCTAATCCTGCATTACATTGTAGTTGGTTTCATACATTCATACTACTGTATTTGTGAATGTTAACTAAATACTTTTTTTAAAAAGCAAAATAACTCGCTGAAAGTGGGAAAGATAACTAACTACATCTTGGGTCACAGAGCACACCAATAAGCCCAGTCAGTCCTTAACAGGGCCTGTCAAAATGAACCAGTTCACAGCAATCAAATGGCAAGGTGTCAGGTGACACTCCAGGTACCAGTGCTCTAACACGTTGGCACAGTATGTACACTAAACTGTAATTGTTGTCACAGAGTATCCACCAATCCCTGGCTGCACTGAGCAAGGTCATCAGAGGGACCCAACTGCTAACTCCTGAAGTCCAAAAACTGGCCACTGCCCTGCTCAATCAAGAGGTAAGAAAGAAAGAAAGAAAGAAAGAAAGAAAGGAATAAAGAACAAAAAATGTGATTCATAGAGTTTGTATGTAGGAGTATAAACAGCAAGTACTGTAAATGCTAGTTTGTTGGTACATACAAATCTACTACATTTTGAAGACAAATTATAATTGGGACTTAGTTTATTCAAAAGATGAAAATGGTCTTATATTGCACTTGTTACATGGTATCAAATTTGCATACTACAGCCTTCCTGTGTCTTGTAAGTCATTTGAGATACACTATATTTTGCACATTGTTTTGATCTTTGATTCATCTCATCATAAAATATACAATTAGGTTTGACTAAAGTGTAAAATCCCACACTGTGATGAAGATGTGGCCACAGGGGCAGGTACACATACAGTACGGTATACAGAGCTGACTTGTAGACATCTAGCAAACACGGCATGTATCCTTGTGTGTGTCCCCAGGCTGAGATGAGGACAAAGGGGATATGATGAGGTGGTAGAGGAGAGATGCACAATCAACCTTTTACTCCTTCTGTTTGTAATCTCCTGAGAGAAGCCTTGGGCGTGATTCCTTCTTAACTGCTTCCCTCCTCTCTCTTTTTATATTAATCAGCAAGTCTTTAGTCTGATTCATATATCTCTCCCAGCCAACATTCTACAGTTTTCCTCTTTCTTTTTTGATCTATCGGCCCTCTAACATATTCCTTCACTACAATTATATATATTTCTTTCTGGCAATTCCATGCTCATGGTCACAGTAAACCAAGGACAATCATGTTAGCCAAAATGATTTTAAAAATGTATGATTTCCTCATTTCATTTAAGTGTCAATCTGCTTTAAGTTTCCACAATTGAGGACGCTTCATAGTGCGTAATGACTGACCTATGTAACTTAGTATATAAAACAGATGAGCTCTCATTCCTGTTTAATAAATCTATACTGTTTCCCCTCCCTCCTTTGAATTTAACTGGTAAAACACCCATGGCCCAAAGTATGCAGAGTAGTTTTACCATAGCCTGTTTTTTTTTACATATTTTTTGGGGCTTTTATTGCCTTTATATGATAGAGACAGCCGAAGATAGACAGGAAAG